GCCCCCTGATGTTGCATAGTTTCCAGGACAGGGCTTGTGAAAATGCTTAAACGAAAGAGCTGGCTTTTTGAAACACTTGAACCAACACCACCTAGAAGCTAAGGCCATAGTGCTCCTCTCGTGACGTCGCAAAGGAAGGCCATCGGGGGCACGCGTGGAAGTTAAGGCAATGCGCGTTGATTGACCGTCGTAACAACGCTTTTATTCACGTAAGCATATCTGATTAGCTAAACTGAAAGCTGCACATAGCAACTGGGCTAGAAAACAATTTATTACACGGACAAAATATTACGCCGCTAAATACTAATCGGTGTGAAATGGCACGAGGCATGCGTATAAAGACGTCTACAGAAAAATGTTATTCTTTTAAGTCGAAAACATTGAGTCGGGCATTTATTGCTGTAGGAATGCATGTTTTATACAAAAATACTTAGACAGAATGGCGAGACTTGCAGTGATTAGACACAGCAAAACTGATCGCAGTTAAAAATCGGGTAGACGTAATCAACGCGGACACGACTAGATAAGTGTCACTTACAATTGTATAAGTGATGTTAATGCGTGCAGTCACTGAATTCTTGCCTTATACCCCGACCTCTTGGCAAAATTAATGTAATTTCGATCGAATGACATTATGGGGTCAGCAAGTCAGCTTGCGAGGCTTATATAGTCACTCAGGATTGCAAGCTGATTCAATCTTAAAATATTATTTAATGAAAAGATATTAACTTCTCTTTGTGGCAGGGGTGCAAAACCTACTATTTAGTCAATTAATTTACTTCTCCCTATGGGCTCGAGCTGCCTTAGAACAAAATATAACTTATTTTGTATTCAATACTGTTACCTTAATACAGCTAGGATTGTAGTATGAATGCGGTAAAGGCAATAAAATAACATTGGTATAAATAAACACGTAAGCACAAACAACACACTTTCAAGAATAGCACATAAGATTGTTATTCACCTTCCAGTGAAAACTTTAATGTTACCACGCATATTTACAAATGTCGACTCGCTTGCGCACGAATGACAATGAAGAACGAGATTCCAGTCTATCGCAAGAATAAAGCAACCGACTGCAGCACTCTACTCGCGTCCTACATGACCAACAAAGTTCGTAAACAAGTTGTTTCTCACAAACTCGAAGAACTCTCTCTCCCTGTCGAGTAAAAGAGGTCTATTGAAGATCGACCAGTGTCATCATTGACTAGTGGCCACACATTTAATTTAATTTAATTTCATTCTATTGACCTCAAGGGCGTCCGAAGGGTGCTTTACATGAGGGGAGATTCAAAACAAGTTACAGTGATTAAAGAACAAAAATAGCATAATACGGAAAAGTGAAATGTGATAGCAGATGCACCCAATGTCGTCAATCAAAGCAAAATGAAGTAAGAATAAAGCTCGAACAGAGTACAAAAGCTCTTCTGCAAAAACAAAATCAAGGTGAGCAATTGTACAATTTTGAACACTTGTCTCTAAATTAAATTGGGTTGCTATCCATAACTATTAGATCAGGTAATGCTTTCCAGTCTCTGATGCAAAGTACTAAGGGTGAAAAAAGGAAAGTGTTAGTTCCACCCAAGAACGGTTCTGTTTTGGAAGAATGTTTAACCTTGGTGGTGTAAAACTGGCAGGGCGACAGTAAATTGATTTAAAAATCGAATTGCTGTAATAGATGCTATGAAAAACATGTAACTGAGCCATTTTACGTCTTTGTTCTAGAGGAAAGAGGTTAACACTAGTTTTTAAGGCCGAGGCACTAGTTTCTGGCGAGTAGTTGTTGGATACAAATCTTGCTGCTTTGTTTTGGACAGATTCCAGTCTCTACTAGGACGTAATTTTGGGGGGGGGGGGGGGGGGGGGGGGGGTTCCAAGTGGTGCATGCAGTCTCTAATTCGGGAAGGACTACTGTCTTGTATGCGAGAATTTTTTTTTCAGGTGGGGTAAGATATAATGTTTGTCACAAGAAGCCGAGCGTTTTCAAGGAACTGCTTGTAATGTTTTCGATGTGCTTGTTCTATGAGTGTGTCTGTAAAACATATTCCCAAGTACTCATACGATGGTACATCTTTTAGTTATTCTGAGAAAGAATGATGAATATTGTGATTGTGTTTTGGTAGACTACTTCGTGTTGGACATTTGTTTGCATGTCAATCACATCGTAGCAGGACCGCGAATCCACATAACTGCCATAGTATCAAGAAAACAGAAGAGTAAAGACTAGAATTGTGGGACGAAAAGGTTAACGTCGGTCGGCCCATCTCTTGCTCCTGTGCTGGTGGCGACTGGATTCTTTTTGTTTCCCTTCTCTTCTGAAATGTCTCGGCGTTCCTTCTCAGACAGTCAGCAGATGACACACAACCAAATCTACCAGAATCGGAGCACATATGAGGGAAGAAAATGTACTTGCTGGAGACAGTTCATTAGAAAAGTGTGGGAGCTGCGGGACTGCACTGTGGTCTTGCGGTTATGGGATACTCATAAATATAAATTAGTACTTTCAACTTTAATAACGCTTTGTATATTCTGTTTAGAGTCTATTTATAATAAATTATACAGGACTGCACATTTACAATGTATAATAATGCCGGATAAATGTGCACAAACAAGCCACGTGACCCGAGCGAGCAGACGACACGGCTGGGGTAAAGAGAACCAAAGCGGGCGCCATTTTTCCGACAAGGCCCCTCTTCTCCAACCGTTGTGACATCGCGACTCTTAGCGCTATGGCCTTAGCTTCTAGGAGGTATTGCTTGAACTGTCTCTGTGCATGCCTCTCGCTTCTCTGCTTGTTGCCATCTCTAGTATATACCACTGCCAAAAATAGTCATATAGTGATGTTGGCTTGTTGCGTCCTGGCATTTGCATGGAATACTAAAGAAAAACATCTGGCACCAAACCTCTAATCCTAATGAAGTTTTTTAACACTACAGAACTCGTACAAAAGAGGAAAAAGTTGACACATTATCAACCTTGTAAGAAACAACTGAGATCGTTTCTCAGGTTTACTCTTGTGCCAGGTGTTTTTTTCTTGTTCTTTGTATATGTGTTGTACAAATTGGGAAGATTAGAAAATTGTTGGGGCGGTATCCGTCTTAAAAGAATACGGAACCTAGGAATAAAATATTTTTTTCTACCACGTTAAGACATCCATGTTTCAAAATCAATGATCATAAAAAAAAAACTTTTTGGCCTTATATTTATGTTACAATACAAATTTTTCGATTTGTGGTCGAAACCCTGTGGGAAAATGATGATAGCGTTTTCACCCGACTACCTAGTGTGTGCTCTCAGTTCGCTGGGCCTCAGAGCGCACACTAAGTGGGTACAAAAGCTATCATCAGCACCCCATGGGGGCACAGTTTCGGTTTCACCCGCAAATCGAAAAATATCTATTGTAGCATAAATATTGAAACTTTTTTTTTTTTATTACATTATTTTTGAGAGGTGCTTTTCCTAACAAGGTAGGAAAAACATTTTTGTTCCTAGGCTTAGTGGTCTTTTAAAGGGCAACTCCAGTTCATTTTACATATTAGGAAAATAATGCAATTCTCTTTTAGTATTGCCTAAAAAAAAACATATTCCAAATAGTTTTATCTAATTCTGCGTAAAAGTTGACGAAACTGGAAAACGAAGTTTGAGGTGCGTGAAATTACCGAAATCTGCCAATCCTAGTGGGCAAGGCGCGGCGAAGTCAATAGCGCAGTCACTAGTACCACTGTTTCGGCACAGCCCACACTGCGCAACCCACGTCGTGCTTGGAGCTCTCGGGGAGATTTGTTTGCTTGCACTGTACTTTTTTCAGCGAAGCCTACAGGCATCGCTAACAGTGCGTTTATCATTGATCACGTGATTCGCAGAACGCACATGTGCCCGTGTTCTCCCGAGCAAGCATGCATCATCACCGGCAGCGTGCGAGAGAGCGAGTTTGTGATATTGGGCACGGCACAAACCTGTCGTGACGTATCCACTTGTGGTTTCCGGAACTTTACTTTCTACTAATGTTTTCGAAAACAAGCCCTCGAGAAAAAGCCTTTTTTTTTTTTTTTGCGCTAAAACACAAGCTGCAGCTGCAGTAGTACAGGCATCGTCGGGTGTAGCAGACTGACAATCGTAGCAGACGGCACTTTCACAGACGGCACTTTTGCACAGAGCTGCGCACTGCCGCCTGGTACGTGATGTCACGATTAGTACCACGTGGTTAGAGTTGTAGGTGACAACAGAGGAGCAATGTTGCCTGCTGCAAGCAGGGTTTCAGTTTCGGTTTGCGGTTAACATGAAATGAAGATTGCGCGAAAAATATTAACGCTTTTTTATGGAAATGACGTAGAACCGTTTATTGCTACCTCGGGATATATAACCAATCATTAACTTAAATTTGTTGAAATGAACCGTAGTTGCCCTTTAACTTCTCTGCCACTAAGTAACATTGTAAAATATTCTCAGCAACTAATTTCTCACGATTAGCATGCAGTAGTAGAATGTCTGTTCAATAAAAGTTATCACAAACGGTCAGAAGTAGGACAGAGTTCAGAATAACATTCTCCTGCTTCTAACCTTTTGTGATAACTTCTGTTGAAGAGACATTCTGGTGCATGCTATGTTCTCCTTCAGCTTTTCAGACTTATTGTGTATGTCTGCAATTTCAGGATTGCCTAATGTTGTTGGTTACCATGGGATATTAATAGCAGCAGTCTAGGGACCAAAGAGTTTCTTTTATAGCCATGCTTATGGCTTTAGCATGAGCACAATGGGCAGGATACCTTTAGAATGGTGTTTTCAGAATGTGTATTTTGTATGTCCGGTCTATCAGTTTCGCCTTTCGTCTCGAATTTAATAAAGTATTTGCAGTTCATCGCCTTGCTCACATCCTAATTCCTATTCTGGGCACTCTTGACACTTTGAGAGCCAGGGAACAAATTGCAGGTAGCTCAAACCTGGTGTTGCATGCTTCGAGCATTTACGTCGCTCGACGCTTGTCTGCTTTTCCTCTGCAGTGTCCGAGATAGGAACTCGGAGGGGCACTGACACCAGCTTCCTGGCGGAACCGTAGTCAGAGGTGGTGCCGTCGGCGTGATTCGGCTCTCAAGTTCATGCGTCTTCCTGTCATCGTCGACTCCACCAGACGGCGAAGCTCATCATTGGTTCTGCCGAGGATGGTCCGTGGCAGAGTGCGCCACCATCAGATTCCAGTGTTTGCGAATGTCGTTGGAACAGTTTCGAGCTGGCGTGAGGACGGAGTCGCTTCAGTGATACGGCTCGTGTAGCGCAGTCGGACCTTGTCATAATGAAATAGCATTTGGAGCAGGAGCTACCTTGTGGAAATCTATGGGCTTTCAGCTGAAAAAATAGAGCCATGTTTCTCTCGGCGCAAAACAAAAAACAGCTGTGCACCGTCTTGAGCAAATGCTCTCCCAAACATAGCGTTACACCTTTACTGTGCAACAGTTTTATAAATATGTGATGTTTGGTTTGAAGGCTAGAAGCGATTCGCAACTAGAAATGGGCAGTAGACTCCATCTATGTCCTAGTTCTTGGACTCCTCCTGCCACACTCCACTTGCTTTAAATATGATAATGTTAGTTCTGAAACTTCCTCACCTTATCCAAACTGCTAGTGCAGAGTTTGAACATTGAACTTTGTATAGTTCATTTTTTGAGCATGCAGAGTTCATTTTTTTAGCATGAAAAACATGAGATCCGTTTCTCAGCAGTCCTCTATATTCTTTGTTAGAGTATGTCGGACAAAAAGTCTAGAAAATAATATGCAATCAACCCCATTGTCAAAATGCGTAATCCCAAGAGCGATATATTAACGTAACTAAAGCAAGGGTGCAGGTGAGCTGGTTCAATACTGACATGGACCCTGGAGCTGGGGAAAAGAAGGGACGTAGGACAGACGGGAAACATGCTTAGCTAATTTTCAAAACTCATTGTTTTTAACCACTCTGTGTGAGCATAAGAGAGCAGTTACAAACAAGAATGAGTTTTCAGAATTAGCTAAGCATGTTTTCCGTTGTATTGATTGTAGCATTCACTGGGAGGAGACAAAAGTCCTGGATAGGGAGCAAGACTGTTATAAACGTCTGATAAAGGAGTCCTTGAGAATAATTAGTAATGATGGTTGTTTTAGCAATGTGTCTGTTGCTTTGAGTGATCCGCTTCAAATGTTTCTAAACTCTTAATTTTTTTCTTTTTTGCCTGCTTACGTGTGTTCAAACGCTCCTGTCTTTTTTTTTAACTGGTTGTTAAAGCGTTCTGTTTTCGCTTGTTTTCTCTTTCGATGGTTCTTTGTTAGAAGTATGCTTATTGATATCATGTGTCCTCGTTCTGAGGTTCTTCGTAGTCAAACCTTTTGTGTATGTGTCGCGTGGTCTTTCTGGAGGTGTGGCTGGTTATCTCCTGCACCCTCCCTCCGATGGTTCTTTGTTAGGAGGTTCTTGCTGATATCATGTGTCCTCTTTCTGCGGTTCTTTGTTTTCGAACCTTTTGTATCTGCTTCGCTTGGCCGTACATAGGTTCTTTGTTGTCAAACCTTTTATGTCTGTGTCGCTTGGTCGTAAATCTATTTAAGGACGTGACGGTGAAATGAAATTTTAGCTGTGTTTGGAGTTTTGTGTCTGTCCTACGTCCCTTCTTTTTTCCGGCTCCAGGGTTACCATGTCAGCGATATATATTGCAATTATGAGTGCACATCAATCTTTGTTTTAAAATGTAAAGCAAGGGTTCTTTGAAGTTCTGGATACCGAGGAACCCCTCTCCCCTCTGGGCATTGTCGCAGTAAAGCGGAAAAACATGCTTAAATTGATGTGGGAGTGATCGAGAACATTAGGTGTTTGAAAAAAGTGAATTTGAGAAGCCATGCCTTAAAGGGGCCCTCCGGAGCTTTTTGCGATCGTCGGTCTATGTTGTTATATTGCGTAGTAGATGCATGTTAATATGTATACAAAGTTATAGATTACAAAACCGTTTATTAAGCAGATGGCAGTAGAAATATATCGGGACTATTTTCTCTTGGAAGACAATCCCCCATTCCCTGCCCATCGCTAAAACTTGACCAATGGAAATTCTGCATCTCGCGGTTAATGCGAACGTTATTATTGCAACATTTTTTAAGCTTGTGGTAAATTAGAGTTTGAGAAAAACGTAAACTGATTGTGGTGCGGGAAACATAGTCCGCAATTATCGCTCCAAAACCAGCGAACTATGTTTTCTCCCCGCAAGCTTGTTGCTAGAGGGTGATGCATCGGCGCGTCAGCTCGTCTGCTTCCCGGGGCGTCTGCAGGCGTGCGTTTGCGGGACACGTGTTCCTTCTTCCCATGGATCCCGACTCCAAAGCCAGCTTTGCGATCCTTCCACGTCAACGAGTCAAACTTTTCCTTGTCATCTGTGGAATGTGACTGCGTATTGCAGTAGCAGCGCGACGGTGCGGTGCGACGAACGACGACTGCCGAGCACAAAGTCCGGCAGCCTCAACTTTAGCCTCAACTTTAGGAAGCCTCAACTTTAGGAAGACTTTAATATGTTGCCGTCTTCACATCCTTGTAACCAACATGAGGCGGGGAAAGAAGAGTAAGCTTCTGGCTGACCACTGAAGGATCAGAAAAGAGAAAGGACCTTTATGTTCTCCCCCATTCGAGTCAGATAGCAATTTTTCATGGGTCACACTGACCAAGCTGCTTTCAAAGCCAGGTTTAAGGGGGTACAGGGTTGAGGCTTTGGTCTGGAGTCATGCTGGAACAGTCTAGCATTTGTCGCTCAGCTTCTCTAGTTCTACAAACATTGTGTGCTTCCTCGAATTTGACCTATACTACCATTTTTTACCAATCTTTTTGCCTTTTGGGTTACAGAACTTTTGGAACCCATTCTTAAACCCTCATTTGCGAGTCTAGCAAAAGTCATGACCTGTTCAGTTTTGAACATGTTTTATGGCCATAATGTTCCTTGTTTTTTGTGCAGAGTATGTTAATGTCCTTAAATAAGGTTTTTTGTGTTTTGTCTCGGCACTCCTGTTATGGCTTTGGGGGCTGAAAATCGTTTTCTCACTGACTCAAACATTTCCTACATGTCCTTCACACCTCCAGCTAAAGCAAACCTCCTTCGCACTATCCCTCTTTATCACTTCTCGGCCTGTTTCTTCCTTTTCCATCGAATTTGTCATTATCTTTCCGCAGATGTGTGATGCCTGGCTTTAAGGTTTAATTTTTTTTTCATTTACCCCTCGATCTCCCCATGTAGAAATGCCTACGCGCGGTTGCAAGTATGGTCCTTCGGCACCACTGCTTCGAGGCCAATGGGGGTTTGTTGCTTAAATGTTGCGAAGCTGGGCAAGCTGGTGTTTAGCATCCAAGTTGTATGGTGTGCCTTTCTTCTGAATCGGGTTTGAAGCCATGCGCTTGCAAGCATGTCCACGATTACTTAATTTTTTAGAACTTGATGCCGGCTGCTGTATTCGTAAATTCTTTAGAAAGAAAGGATTATATAGTCTCCTGGTGCTCCCCTATATGCTGTTTGCTTCATACTGAGTGTCTGGGCCCTAGAATGTTGGAGATGGCCTCCAGCCTTCTGCAGAATTCCGGTTTCTAAATTGAAGAAGGGTGTCTGGCTCACTCCAAGTAAGGAACTGATCGATTTAAGACAACCTGGGGGACCTTTGACGTGGAACTGAGATCTCGGCTATACAGTTCCGTTTCTGCAACAAGCCTTCATTAGAATGGTTGGCTAGGTTAGTTGCCGGCTTTCCACTCTTTGATCTTTTTGGTTGTGGGCAGTATGGACTTGTTTTTTGTTATTGCCAATATTGGCTCTCGTTTTGGTTGTGCAATGTCATTACACAAATGCAATTCGAAATTCAAATCTAGTAATAACTGCAATTGCTTTATTATATACAGCAGTTCGCTTTGTCAGTGTTCATTATAACAAGGTCCGACTACGAGATGCCATCGTGCCCATGTACAAAGTTCTCAAGATGAACGAAAAATGTCTTGCTTGAAAAAGATACAAGTGCACTTTTTTTTTTATGACTTCGTTGGCAGGCGTTGTATTTGCACAGACTTGTATCGTCTTTAAGTGGGACCAATGACAATCTTGCAGTGCTGGTGGAAGTAGCTGCCAGCTGAAAATTCTTGTTTGTCTCAACACTCCACATTGGAGAGCAGGTTGTTCGTGTAAGTTTGCATGTTCGCTAGAATATATAAGGCGCGTTTTTAGCTACCGTGATTGCTAACTTTTTGAAAATGTATTATTCAGTAGAGGTTCTGTCGACTTGGAGCGTTTACTTTTCAAGTTGTGCTTTAGGGGTATGATGTTGTGGCTACTACTATTTTGCTTGTTCACGGGTCTCAGCTTCTCATACAAAGCAGTTGCCCCTAGTCATGTTGGTTTCTCATGGGATTACTTTTTCACTTGCTACAGCTTGTCTGAAGTTTTATCAGTGCTTTATATTAAAATATGCTAGACCCTGTTTACTCTGTATTATATGCTTAAAGCTTTAAGTTGAGCAGTGTTTTAACCCTCTTCATTAGCATGTGTAAAAAGAAAAATGAGTATCCTTTTTGTTTCAGATTTTTACAACTACTATTAGGTCTGCGTTTTTCTTTTACTGTATTATATCTTACTTCTAAGGCATTCATTGTGACTGTCAGGTTGATTGTTGCAACATTCCACTGTTTGAATATGCAAAAATGCAGAATATTGCATACTTGTTCAATTGCATCTGCAGTTATTCACAAATGCAGGTTGTTAATAAAAGGTGGATATATTTTTACATACCCGCTTTGTTCGTTTCTAAAAGCCAGAAATGCTGCAAGGGAAACATTTGATGGCAGGGTGCCTGGTCCTGGAGAGGAAACCAATACAGTGGAATCCCGTTAATTCAAACTTGCGGATAATTCAAACTAACACGCAGGTCCCATCCTGCGCGTCTCTATGGGAGGAAACTCCTGGTAATTCAAACTTTGCTTTATTCAAACAAATTTTCGGTTCCCCTCGAGTTCAAATTAACTAGATTCAACTGTATTATAATGTGCAAATAGGGTGGCCACCCGTCCCGCGACTCGTGGGGATCGAGTGCTTATGTCCCGCATCCTGCAAGAAATCCGAGATCTTCAAAATGTCCCCCATTTAACACTGTTGTAAAATTCACTATGCAACTTGTGGCGCTGCCGAAGAATGGGGCATGGGGAATTGCGTGGATGTCTCTGGTAATCGTGTGAATCGCAATGATAGTCTATTTTCTATTCAAGCATTTGGTGAAGCAACCATTATTTTTGCAGAAGAACTAATATGCATGTGTCGTGCCTCTCTCCCCTTGGTGACAAAATTGCATGCCAAAAGTCGAAAAATAAATTGGTGTAATTATTTTCAAATCGGGCTGTGTCAATGTGAAAGAGTTGCTGCCGAAAACTTTTTTTAGTGAAGACGACCAAGCAAGGCAAAAAGACTGCAATTCGCAATGGTAAAAACAAGCAAAAAAAAGATAAGGGTCTAAGTTTGGTGTAGGAGCATGCTGGTAAAAGCAAGCATTGGCAGAAAACAAGAAGTCCAAAAAAGTTAATTTTCTTTACTTTTTATGCATTGAGTTCTGCTGCAGTCGATTTTCTGTTTTCAACTTGGGCACATTTAATAACATACACTATTTGGCATTAAAATTTAAGAAATATAGCTGGGAGTGAAATTTATTTTAGCTTAATTGCAGCAATACAATTTGCATTTGTATAATATCCTTTCGGATATATTTTGGGGAGAATCGGGCCTGCAACGGCCGGAGAAGGCAGCGTGCCCATACCAAAAGTCCTGTGAGCGTCAGCCTGGGTCCTAATGCTCATATTTGTTCACAAGTCAGTTTGTGTGACAACACTGGTGCTACACTGTGTAGTCCCTTGGGCAGCCCTCATTAAATGTCTTGAGGTCGTCGTCGTCGGGTGGCAAATTTCCAGTGTGGTCAGATAAGAGCTGGCACCAAGCAGCTGCTGCACGGGGCAGCCAAGATGAGCCGTGGCATTGTGTGCTTGTGAGGAGCGGCTAAAGACAGCCTGTTTGTTGGTTCAGGCACAGACTGTAGTGCAATTCCTGGTGGCCAGGGGACATAACACAGTACATTAGTCATTCTACTGTTGAGGCCCATACTTTTGAGTCGAGGGGTTGCCAGAGGCGTGCGAGAGCAGGTTGGTGGAGCAAATTCCAGCACAGGAGAGTTGCTGCCTCTTGGGCATAGTGTGGCGATAAAAGTTGTACGCTGTAAGGCAATGAACGCTGGCGAGATTTGTTTGAAGTGCCTTAGACTGGGGCAACCACACGGCAGTGCGGTATTCAAGGGCAGGAAGAACGAGCACTGTGTACAGCATCGAAATGCATTCGCCAGCATTCCAGTGGTCATGCGTGTCACGAACCCTAGCAGGTGGTGAGGTTTGGACAGAGGATGGTTGGTGTGCATGAAAAAGTTCTTCCAAGAGTCGAGCTCAACTCCAAGCACCACAGCCGTGTTGGCTCGGCTTAGCATGTGATGCCCAAGTTTTAGAAGAGGTGGTTGGAGAGGAAAGGGTGGGGGACTTGAACTAGTGAAGGTAACTCAAACATTTATTTGCATTGGTGGGGAGATGGTGCAGCTGTGCCCAGTACAGACAACGGTCAAGGTCGGCCTGAAGTCACGTAATAAGGCAGAAGAGCAGATAGGTTGGAGCGGGGAGATGTCATTGGCATACAGGATAGGAGTTGAGGCTAAGTTACCTGTCATGCTGTCGATGAAAATGAACAAAGTAGGGCCAAGGACACTGCCCTGTGGGACGCCAGAAAGGACAGGAATCGCCGTAGAGGGAGCACCTCGGTAGATAACTCGCTGAGTACGGGCAGTGAGAAAAGCACCGAGCCAGCGAACCAATAAGGGCCCACAGCCCTTTGGGCTACGCACTTGCCAACAATCGAGGATAGGGTTGCCGGTCAAAGGCACGAGAGAGATCTACCTGGACCAACTCAACAGGTGTGTGCGGTCATTGAGTTGCACACTGACGGTATGAACCAGAGTGCCAAGGGCGGTTTCACAGCTGCAGCCGTGACGGAACCCACGGTGTGAGGTTGACTGAAGGCTATTGCTGTCAAGGTGCAGGCTAATTTTAGAGTTGAGAATTCGCTGGAACATGCGGCACAAGACAGGTGGACACAACGGGGCGCTATGGAAACATATAAGCGCGAGCGCCATGTTCTTTGTGTACCGGCATGATGTGGTCCACATTCCACAGACGAGGGATAACGCGAGAGTCCAGTGTACACTGGAACATCAGGCAAGGGGCCAGGGCCAGGAAGGGAGCTGTGGTCTTAAATACAAGAGGGTGGATACCATCGGGGCCTGGGTTCTGAAAAGGACGATAGCTGGGACACAGCCTCGAGGACATCGTTAGTAGTTGTCGTAATGGAGGATAAAATGGATCTAGGCTGACCAGTTGTGGTGGCATGAGGGGCATCTGTAGTTGAACTAGAGGGCTAGGAGGTTAGCACAACAAGAACCGGTCCCGACTTCGTTCGAGACGTTCGCATTGACTGATGACATGCTCGATTGTCTCTTCTTTGCAAAGTCGACAGGTTGGGTCGTCCCCGTACAGCTTGCACCACCGGCTCTGGGTCAGGAGGCAGCCTGTTCGTGCCTGAAAATGCAAGGTGCTGCTTTCCCCCTGTTCTGGTGGTATGGCGCTGGTTCACCCTTGTGCTTTCGGTATAACTTGAGCCTCTGTTTCTTCTGGGTTGCCCTCTGCCACTGCTGGGTTCCGGCCTGTGTCACCTCTTTGCGAATCGTTTTGGCTCATTCTCTCTCCGTGGTCGCCTGTTGCCTGGCTGTACCCCCACTGAATTTGGAAACTATGGCTTTTAGCTTCTTTACCCAATTTGTTCTCGTTCCGTTGTATCTAATCTGATAATACATCCTTCGTGCGTAGCTCCTCGGCGGAAGGAATTTCAGTCTTCCCATATAGTGTTGCTTGGACTGGGCCCCTCTGGTTTGGTACGTGGTCCTGCCCCTCTCAAGAGCCTGTCACTCCTGCGTTAGCCGTGCAGCTGCTTCCACCCAGCACCCACCTCCCCAGCTCGTATTGGTGTCGGTCCAAGCTTTTGATGCCGGCCGCGCTGTATGTGAGCACATCGTTGGTATAGGTAGGTAACGACCGAGACCGCGAGTGTTTTCCATAGAATTCTGGCCACCGAATACTTGTACAAGTGTCTGACAAGGGGCCACACTATCCCTTTCAATTGGTTTGATTTTGCAATTACGTTTCTTTCACGTTGGGCCAGATAGTCTTTATCACATGTTATCGTTGCACCAAGGTACTTGTAGCTTGATTTTTTTTTTTTTTACTACCTGGTTTTGCAAATAAAAGCCCTGATCACCCTCTGTATTAAAGCTAATCCACTGTGTTTTTTAACATTGAATTTAAACTTGTCCCTCGATGCCTCTTCTGAACAAATGCTCATCAGGTGTTGCATATCTGCTGCTGTCTCTGCTATGAGCACCACATCGTCCGCAAAGGCCAGGCGTGGGATGCATGTCTACTCTTCGTCTCCATTCTTGGTGATCGTGCTGGGACGCAGCCCAGCTCCCTCCTCCTCCAGCAGCCTGAGACAGTTGTTGATGTACACATTAAACAGTCTTGGTGACAGGGGCACCCCTGTCTCAGCCCAGTAGTGATCGGTGCAGGCTTTGCGTTCCCTGCATAGGCTGTTCAAGAGTTTTACGCTGTTCTTCTCAAACCCGCTTTTTCTCATTTTTGTCTAGAGAGTTTGATGTGGTACTGCGTCATACACTTTTTCCATGCCCAAAAGTGCCAGGTACAACTTGGAGTTCTGTATGTTCTATTGCCTGGGTTAAAGTGAATAGGTTGTCGCTTCTGTATTCCCAGAATCCATTCTGGCTTGTGCAAGCATGTTTTTTTTCTCACATATTCTGCAGCCTATAGTTAATTATACTGGTGAACAACTTGCAGACATTACTTATTATTGATATTGGCCTGTAGGCTTTTAGGACTTTTGGGTCCATTTGTTTCCCTTTGTATATTAGCTTCACTTTTGCTTGTTTGCTGCACTCTGGGATTTCCTTCGTCTCCAGTATGGCATTACAGCATGTCCTGATGCTGTCCTGTGCCTCTTTTTTTAGTGCCTTCATTTCCATTCTAGTTATGGGATCCATTATAGAGAGCCCTTGCCTGTTTTGCTTTCAGTGGTTTTTGTTCCGCTGTTAGCATCCTCTGGAGTTCTCTTCAGATCTTGTTGTTGTGTAAAATATTCGGTCAGCCAGTCTTCTGCTTCTCCTTTGTCCTTTAGGTCCTTGCCATTTCTTTACAGTGTCGGTGCTTGGTCTGTTTTCCCCTTAGACTGGACCTGCATTGGAGTAATTAGCTTCTAAAATATTTTGCTAGCCTTTTTCTTTTCTTTTAATATGTCTGCCGAAGCCAAAGGTCACCTTCGCTTGCTGGCCTACTGGCCTGAACCGTCACTGAACCTCCAAGACTTGTGTGGTGGATCAGAAGAGCACGTCGTCCTCATCACCACCAAACTGCAGTAGCTTTCCCAGCCTTAACGCACGGTGAAGCCTCCGAACGCCACCCTTTGCCGAAACACTTCTACAGCTGGTAGAAGTCTCTTGGCTAACTCCAAACCTTCAAGCAACGGTGCTTGCGATGTTGATCGGAAGACCGTGTCGTCCTCCCCTTGTACGTATCATCTCATCATCACTAGACGTGGCACCGCGGGTACAGGCTGTCGCCTTTCCGCAGTACCACGGCT